AGACTCCCCTTTGCCTGTGTGTGGCCCTGATCCCCTCCCTTCCCCTGATGACAGTCCCTATGAGAAGAGCCCTACTTCCGTCCTTCTTAGGAGGAGCCATTTCTCCCTTCAGCACCTGTGAATCAAAGGGACAGGGGAGCCTTACCCAGAGAGGCCACAACCTGACGATTGTCCTCCATGACTTCCTTGTGAAGGATTCTTTCGTCCGGGTCCAGCAGAGCCCACTCCTCCTCCGTGAAATGAACAGACACCTCCTCAAAGGTCACCAGACCCTGAAATGAGAAGAAAAAAAGAAGCCCTCTCTCTTCACGCTAATGTACCAATTCTTTCCTTCAAAGGTCAATCGAAAATGACCCTTACCTGATCTGGCTTCACGGAAGCCGCTTTGTCACTAAGAGATGGCAAAGAATTTAGCACGCGTTTTTCGGCACTGCCTACAAAAGAAAAAAGGGTACTCGGAAGACATTCTGTCCTTCCTGTTTCTGTTCCTTGAGCCCTGGGGGAAATAGATCCTCTGCATAATGCCTTGTGGGTAGAACTCAAGATGCTGGTTCAGACACAGATACATTTGGACTGACACAGAATATTTTAAATGGAGAACCTGGAGTGCAGCACCTTTCCCACACAGCACTGAGTGGGGGAGGGGTAGAAAAGCAGCCCAGGTACCATCAAGGAGGGCATCCACTGGGAAAGACATTTAGATCTTACCTGGAAAGGTTGCTCCAGGGTGATGGCCCTGCATGATCTCCTCCTGCACCTGAAATGGAAGTGGGGACCCCAAAAAGAGGAAGATTCATAAGACGGGGAACAGGAAACGGGAACCAAAAAGGTGGGGTACATAAGAACATAAGAGAAGCCATGCTGGATCAGGCCGATGGGATACAAATACAATAGAGGAGACACAGCAAAGCACAAAAAGCAGAGGTCATTTCGGGGGGGAACGCGGGGGAACACAGTTCCCCCGGGTGAGGTATGGGGGCGGGGCACATGACGAAGCCGCGCCCCCTGCTTCCGGCCACCCCGCTTCCGGCCCTCATTCAGCCAGGAGGAGGCAGGAGAAGAGGGAGGGGAAGTACATCAGGAGGTCCAGCAGTGGGGCCAGAAGCCCTCCCCTGTTCCCCCCCACAGCACCAAGAATACAGAGCATCACTTGCTCCAGACCGAGAGTTCCTATCTATACCTTGTGGCTAATAGCCACTGATGGACCTCTGCTCCATATGTTTATCCGTCCACACTTGTAGCTGCCACCACCTCCTGTGGCAGTGAATTCCATGTGTTAATCACTCTTTGGGTGAAGAAGGACTTCCTTTTATCCGTTCTAACCCGACTGCTCAGCAATTTCATTGAGTGCCCACGAGTTCTTGTATTGTGAGAAAGGGAGAAAAGTACCTCTTTCTCTACCTGCTCTATCCCATGCATAATCTTATAAACCTCGATCATGTCACCCCTCAGTCGTCGTTTCTCCAAGCTAAAGAGCCCCAAGCACTTCAACCTTTCTTTATAGGGAAAGTGTTCCAACAACCCTATTATCATTCGAGTTGCCCTTTTCTGCACTTTTTCCAATGCTATATCCTTTCTGAGGTGTGGTGACCAGAATTGTACACAGTATTCCAAATGAGGTTGCACCATCGATTTGTATAGGGGCATTATGATACTGGCTGATATGTTTTCAGGTCCCTTCCTAATAATCTCCAGCATAGCATTGGCCTTTTATTATTGCAGTCACACACTGTCTTGACATTTTCAGTGACTTTACTACAACTCCAAGATTTCTCTCTTGGTCAGTCTCCGCCAGTTCAGTTCAAGGAGGACATCCCCCGGGGGAAGAGAACCATTTAGACCTTACCTGGAAAGGTTGCTCTGGGGTAACACTTCTGCGTTAGCTCCTCCTGCACCTGAAACAGAAGTAGAGACCCCCCCCAAAAAAGGAGACTTGATGAGACAAGGAATAGGAAACAGACTGGAGAGAGTTTCCTTGGCCATATCCTGTGCCCCCCTCACCTGCAGGTCCTGATTCTCATCCTCTGCCTGGCTGAGGAGGAAGCCTTCTGCCAGGGCCACTGCCTGGGAACTGGTCTCCGGCCCGCACTCCCTCACCCAGCTCTCCATCTCCGGGGGCAGGACGGCCAGGAACTGCTCCAGGACCACCAGGTCCAGCATCTCCCTCTTGCTGCGCCTCTCCGGCTTCAGCCACTGGCGGCAAAGGTGGTGGAGTCGGCTGCAGACCTCCCGCGGCCCCTCCGCCTCCTGGTAGCCGAACTGCCTGAACAGCTGGCGCCGCACATCTGGAGGGAGGTCGCTGTCCCCCAGGCTCTTCTGCAGGGCTCCTCCCCACAGCTCCCTTCTGCTCCCGGCCCCGGCGGCATTGAGAGCCTTTCCTGATCCAGGGACAGCTGAGTCCGGCTCTCCCCTCATCCTCCCTCCCTGTCCAAAAAACCTTCCCGGGGACCCTCCTCCTCCTCCACTGCCAGATCCCGCTGAGGAGTCAAGGGACGGAGCTGGGATCACCTGCAGAGGAGACTCTGCCCATGTGCAGAGGGCAGCTAGGTTGGTCTGCAGCAGAACCTCCTGAAGGAGCCCCTGAGAGACCCACAACAGTTTCGGGGCGGGGAGCTTTCCAGAGCCCAAGGAAAATCTTGCAAGCGGTGTATGATTTTAGGACTTCTCTATTGACCTTTAAACACTCTGAACCGTCTCCCAATCGGACTCGTCTCCCCTGCCGGGCAACCACGCGGGCGACTTCCCGGGCTAACTCTAAGGCAACTTTTCCGCCGGAAGGAGTCTCTACGAAAGGGGACTTCTTCCCTTTCACCCTTCGAGTGCGCCTCGCCCTGCAAGCCTCCTTCTAAGGTCAGGACTGGGGGCCAACGGGAGACCCTGGGAAAGGGAAGAGGAGCTTCTGTCCACGTGGCCTCTAGAGTTCCCTCTAAGCTGAGTTAGTGTGAGCTGGCTCACAGTTCTTTAGCCTCCGGCTCACACATTCTTGTCTTCGCTCAGGAAGGAGGGCTCCAGAGCAAACGATTTATGCAGTAGCCAAATTGCTCGCTCACAACTTTAATGGCAGTCGCTCACAAAGTAGAATTTTTGCTCGCAAGACTCCACAGCTTAGAGGAAACATTCCGCTGCTTATTTGAGGGTTGCCAATCGCCAGGCAGCGCCTGGACAGATCTCGGGATTACAACTGATCTCCAATGACTACAGAGATCAATTCCCCTGGAGAAAGGGGATCGTATGGAGGGCGGACTCTGTAGCATTAGACGCCCCCTGAGGTCCCTACCAGCCCCTCTCCTCAATCTCCAGGGGTTTCTTAACCCAGAATTGGCGAGCCTCATTTCCTGCCGCTAAGGACTACTCCGAGTCCGGAGGTCTCTAGATACCACCTGATGTGCTATAGAATTGCCTTGAGGATGTGGAGCAGTTTCTGGCTGGGCTCACTGGCTTGAGCCACCTAGAGCGTTTCCTATGCTTTGTCTGTGCTGCTGCCTTCCAAGAGAAGACTTGGATTTGGCTTGATTTGGTTTGGGGAGGCGGTATCTCCCCCCCCCCATTGTGCATGGGGGGGGGGGCATCAGGCTGGAAAAAGTACAGAGGAGGGCAACCAAGATGATGAGTGGGGTTGGAGCCCCTTCCCTCTGAGGAAAAGCTGAAGAGTGTGGGATTTCTCAGTTTAGAAAAGAGACAACTAAGGGGGAACATGATCGAGGTTTATAAACTTGTCCACATTCCAAACATTTATATGGTTTCTCCCCTGTGTGTATGTCAAGCAGTACAGTTTTTTAGCCTCCGGCTCACACATTTTGGTCTTTGCTCAGGGAGGATGGCTCCAGAGCAGACTAATTTATGCAGTAGCCAAATCGCTGGCTCACAACTTTAATGCCCGTAGCTCACAACGTAGAATTTCTGCTCACAAGACTCCATAGCTTAGAGGGAGCATTGGTCCGGAGCGTCCGTCCGGGTCCGGGCGCGGCGCCTCGAGGACGGGAGGAAGAACCTTTTTTCATTCATTCGTCTGCAGCAGCGAAAGAGTTAAGGCGAGCGAGCTGCTTCCTAGAGAGGCCGAGCAAGGAGTGGGGGGTGAGGGCTTCGGATCTGCAGGGGGGTGGGGTGGGGAGTCTTGCAGCCGGATCCCCGCCCCGGGAAGGTTCGTTCACAAGTAAGTCATGGAGGGGACGTGGGGGGGGAGAAGAAGCTTTTCAGTCCTGGAAGAGAGAAATGCGGCTATCGAGTGTTTCTGATCAAAATGCAATAAATAGTTTTAAAATGTCTGTTCCCTGTAGACAAAGGAAGGACTGCCCTCCTTCTGGCTCCTCCTGGATCTCTCTGCTGCCCCTGGCACAGCTGGCCCTGCCCTCTTGTTGGGGCGCCTGGGGGCAGAACTGGGCATGGGGGGGGGGGGCTGTGGGTCAGAGTGGGACAAATTATTCCTCATGGACCTGACCCACACGGGCCATGGACTAGATCAGTGGGATGCACAGGGCGCAAAAAACAAAAAACAAAACACACACCGCACACCCCATTCTTCTCCCTTTCTGTAGACCAAAGCCTTTGTAGTTTGGGGCTTGGCTGTCATCCATCTGCAGACGATACACAGCTGTCTCTCTCTGTCTCCTCCACATTTCCTTGCAGCTGTAGTTCTTAAATGCCTGCGAGTGAACAAATTGAAATCCTGCAAAGACGAATGCCGGTTGGGAAGGTGGAGGTCTTGAGAAGGACATTCTGCTCCCCGCTTCCCATGGAGTTCAGCTGACCCTTGCTGGCGCACTTAAGAGCCCCGGGGTTTTACTGGACCCAACAGGATTGCCGGAGAAGCAAGTTAATGCAGTTGCAGAGAAGTCTGTCTCCTAACTCAGCCTAGCCCGACCTTGATAACAGCTGATCTGGCCACCTGGATCCATCTCATGGTGGCACCGAGACTAGACGAATGGACTGTGCCGTGGTCTCCCCTCAAAATCAATTTGGGGACTCCAGCAGGTGCAGAATGCCGGCGTATTGGCATCTAGATGGAGCATGCCTATTACTCCCATTCTGCAGTCACTCCACTGGCTGCTTGTCAGGTACCGGGCTCAGTTTTAGGGACGTTATCCCATCCAGAGCTCTTCATGGCCTTGGAGCCTCATCCCTGCAAGACAGCCTGTCCTCTTAGGTCTGCCTTGGCAGCTTTGCTCATCTGAGCAGGGACTTCTGCAGGTCCCCTCCGCCCCCCCCCCCGCACGTGACCTTTCAGGGCCCCGCCTTGTGGAATGGCCTGCCTGGGAAGGTCAGAAAGGTTCCCACTCTCCTGGCTACGGAAAACTGAATGATTCCAAGAGGGCTTTTCTGCAGAGGCAATAGGATAGCCCTGTACAAAATGATTCACGAAGTCACTTGGAGAAATTCTTAGGGACTGCGGTGCATAAGTGTGCATTTGTTGTTGCTGCCGTAAAGTCACAACACACATGGTGACCCCATAGGGTTTTTAAGGCAAGAGACATTCAGAGGAGGTTTGCCTTTCCCTGCCTCCGCATCATGACGCTGGTATTCCTTGGAGGTCTCCCATCCAAATACTAACTAGGGTGGTCCCTGCTTAGCTTCCAAGATCTGATGAGATCGGGCTAGCCTGGGCTATCCAGGTCAGGGCACTAATGTGTGTAGCTTCTTTTAAGTAGTATCCTATTGTGTAATTTTTTTTACTGTTGTAAGTTGTATCCTACAATGTAATTTTGCATCATTTAGTGGTCTGTGCCGCCATTTAAGCTTTCATTCAACGTGGTTTTTCAGATTTCTGGTTTGTTCTGCAACCAAAATTCTATTTCATCGTTCACTGAACGTGTGCCTTCCTGTCAATTTGTACAGAGTCACTATGTGTAAGCTCCCTGGAGTCCCATCAAGAAAGGCGGACTTTTAATCAAGCAAATAAATGCATACATGATGTTTTAATATGTTAGCCACCTTGGTGGCCCTTGTGGGGGCAGAGAGGCAGGATCTGAATTTTGTAAAACAAAACAAAATAAATTCTCAGCCATGGTGGTCATAAGGAGGCCCACAGAGGACTCCCAGGCGTGATCAGAAGGGATAGAATCATAGAATGTTAGAGTTGGAAGGGACCTTGCCGGTCATCTAGTCCAACCCCCTGCACTCTGCAGGAGCACAGCTGAAAGATAGCCCTACATCCCTACAACCAATGTTCCCTCTAAGCTGAGTTAGTGTGAGCTAGCTCACCGTTTCTTAGCCTCCGGCTCACACATTTTTGTCTTTGCTCAGGAAGGATGGCTCCAGAGCAAACTAACTTATGCAGTAGCCAAATCGCTGGCTCACAACTTTAATGCCGGCAGCTCACAAAGTAGAATTTTTGCTCACAAGACTCCATAGCTTAGAGGGAACATTTCTTACAACATACCCAAAAGATGGTCATCCAGCCTCCGCTTGAAAACGTCCAGCGAAGGAGCATCCACCACCTCCCGAGGCAGACCGTTCCACTGCTCAACCACTCTTACAGTTAGGAAGTTTCTCCTGATATTTAGCCAGTAACGACTCCCTTGTAATTTCCACTCATTAGAGCTAGTCTTGCAATCCGGAGCAAGAGAGAATAAATCATACAAGCCAATTGGCTTCTCCCCTTGCAAAGCATGTCCGTTCTCTCCATCTGTTCATCCAGGCGGCTCCCTCTGCCCCGACTGGGAGACACCTAAGGCCCCTCTGCCCCTTCCACTCTACCGGCTGCTCAGATAGAGCAACTGCTTCACGCTTCCGGGGTATTGAGGAGATAGCTAAAATGGTTAAGCAGCTTACAAGGCACTTTGTACTGGACTCCAGTTTACCTTCAGAGTAGCCCCTGAGACAGACTTATGCGCAGTTGTAGGAGGCCAAGATCATAACATTGGCAACAGATTTCTAAAGAGCCAAATAGAGATGGGCTGCGATCACACACACTAAATAATCCACTTTCAATCCACTTGCTAAATCAATCATCATCCACTTTCCAACTGGATTTTTACTGTGTGAACTGTCAGAATCCAACTCGAGAGTGCATTGAAAGTGGATGATTTTGTGTGTGTGATTGCAGCCATGGTTTACTTTCCTGAAGGACCAAACAGGCATACCTAAGAAAGCTTGATATGCAATGTAGCACAATGACATTAATCCTGATCCACAAACTAAACAAAAATGCTCCATCAGATTCATTGGGGGCAATCATTAGGTGTCTCTTGACCAGGGTTGGAGATGTAGCTCTGTTCTCATTTGGTTTCTTTCTGCCTTTTTGATATGTTTTCCTCCCTCTCTCTCTATTCATAGCCACGTGAGTAAGGGTACCTTTCTGCAGTCGGAGGCAACCCAAGGGAAGGAGATGGAAGAGAAGGACCCAGAAGGACCTGGAACTGGCAAGACATCAAGGAAAGGTCCCCATCCCATCCAAGCAGGAAGTGGTGCTGAATTCTGGGAAAGAGCTGCTCCAGAGTTCCTGGCTCAGGACACTAAGACCGCAGATGTGCGCAGCCAGTGCTTCCGGCTGTTCCGATACCATGAGGCCTATGGACCCCGAGAGATTTGCAGCCAGCTCCATAGACTTTGCAACCACTGGCTGGAGCCAGAGAGGCACACCAAAAAGCAGATCCTGGACCTGGTGATCCTGGAGCAGTTCCTGGCCATCCTGCCCCAGGAAATGCAAAGTTGGGTCAGAGGGTGCGGGCCAGAGACCAGTTCCCAGGCGGTGGCCTTGGCCGAAGGTTTCCTCCTGAGTCAGGCAGAGGAGAAGAGGCAGGCAGAGCAGGTGAGGGGTTTTCATGCACTCAGTTCAAGCAACAACCTTTTCCTAACGCTTCCTGGCCAGATATTTCTGCCTGTAGAGAATTTACTAGGCTGGAAAGAAAACCTGTGATGTAATGTCCACTACACCAAAGTGGACATTAAGGGCACAGACTCTAACCTGGGAGAACCGGGTTTGATTCCCCACTCCTTCACATGCAGCTGCTGGTGTGACCTTGGGTCAGTCACAGTTCTCTTTGAGCCGTTCTCTCAAGAGCAGTCCTCGAAAGAGCTCTCTCAGCCTCACTTACCTCACAGGGTGTCTGTTGTGGGGAGGGGAAGGGAAAGGAGATTGTAAGCAACTCTCCCTCAGGTAGTAAAGGGCAGGGTATAAATCCAATATCTTCTCTTCTTCTTTTTCTTTAACAGGAGTAGTCTCTTAGCGCAGGTATAAAGCATTCATTATGCTGGTGTTGTTCTTGGCACTTAGACGTGGTCTGTTCCTCTCGATGTGGTGTATAGCCTTCCTTGTGGAGGCGTTTCTTTTTTATATATATATATATATATATATATATTATTTTCCATATCACATGATAACAACACAAATCATATTTTTTTAAGATACTGCACAATCTGTTACATCCTCTTTTACACCATATCACTGGCAATGGCTGTTTACATTATAATGGTTATAGAAACAAAAAGATTTTTCCCCCCGTCATTGCCAGTGATTGCTTAGAAAACTATTTTTTCTCTCCTTAAACTCCAACTCAAATGGTACAAACTTAATAAAGTGATATTTATTGTTGTCCCAGACAGTTATTCTTATATCTTATCCGTATTATATTAAGCCTTTTAATTGCTCTTAAATAGAAAGATAGACCAGCAACCAAATTTTTTTTTGTCTTCGTGGCGGAGTTCTTGGATGTTGCCACCTCTCTATGAGACTTTGGAAATCCCAAAGGGGGTCTTTCCCTAAGGCCCCACCCTATAGGAGGTGATAGGGGAGTTCCTCCCGAGTGCCTTACCCGCTATCCAGACTTGAGATCATAAACAGTGTGGGCTCTGCCTTTGTAGTTTATGTATAAATGTCCCAGTGGAAGCCAACGATATCTAATTTGTTTTTCTGTCAACCGTTTTGTAATTGGTTTCAGGTTCCGGCGCGCTGTTAATATCTCAGATGGTAGGTCCTTGAACACTTGTATTTTAGTATCCTCTAATTGGAGACCGTTGTTCTTCCTTGCAGCTTCTAAGATGATAGCCTTTACTTTAATGTCTGTCAGCTCAGCAAGAATGTCTGGAATTAGTGTAGGCGAGCCTGTTTGTGGTGGTTTCAGCCGATAAGCTTGGCTAATTGGTGCAGCTGGCAGTTGCAATAATTCCTGGAGCCACAGATTTAAAGAGTCCGTGAGGTCTTTCTCTATAGAAAAGTTTGGGGAGATTCCCCTGAATTTAATTTTCCTTTCCCGAGCCTTTATATCCAAAAGAATAATTTTGGACTTACTCCAAGTCTCAAAAGTCTTCAAGCTTTGTATATCCTGCTTATTTTTAGCCGTTTGCGTCAGTGCCTGATCAGTCCTTTGCCGCAGATCTGTTAGGCTGATATTCATAGCATCCAGTTTCTGATGGATAGGGGTGATGCTGTCTGATTTCTTTTTTCATTTCTACCAGCATGGTCTGTATGTCTTTTTTGGTAATTGAGTCCTCACGTTTTCTTTTACACTGCCAGCTAGGTGCCTCTTCTTCAGAGTCGCCTTCTAATGGGGGTGGAGGCGTTTCTGAGCTGTTAATAAACCACCTTGTTTGTTGTGTTGGACACCTGGATACTGTGTGACTGTCTGAGACGCCAGTGTTAGACAAGACATTACATGGTGTTAGAAGTTATGGACATGGATTTATTTTGGCCTCCACCCCCACTTGTGTTGCAAGGCAGTTTGGCTGGAAAGTGGAAGCACCTCAGAAGTTGGCCTGGGGGCATGTTTGCTTCAGGAGAAGAGGCCTTCAAATTCACTTCTTTCACGGGTGTCAAACACGTGGCCCAGGGGCCGGAACTGGCCCATCCAGGGTTCTTATCCGGCCCACAAGCAGCTGGTGCAAGAGAGGGAAGGGAGGAGGCTGCTCGGGGGGAGTGGGCATGCAGGCACACATGGAGAGATTTGCGTGGTCAAAGCTGTCAAGAAATGAAAGGAAATGGATAGGGGGCAGGTGTGGGATCCCTTGGGAAAAACCTAGTCTTGCATAAGATCAGGGGTCATTTCCTGCAGGAGCGCACAGGAGTGGAGCTCCGGCATTAAAGAGCCCAGGGGGGCGGGCACAGGCAACAAGCCCCGCCTCCTGCTCCCAGCAGCCCTCAGTCAGAGCAAGAAGCAGCCAGGTAAGTTGCAGAGCTCCCCCCGGCCCCCGGTCCAAAACAATCCAGTAGCACCTTTAAAACCAAGTTTTATTCAGGTACAAACTCTCCCTCCTCTGCGAGGACAGATGTGCACGTTCCCCCCCCCCCAATAGCTAGAAATCCGAAACAGACAAGTGGAGCCTGAGTGGTGGGTGTTGCCTTCTGACACACTTCGGGTGATGTCAGGGGGTGTGGCATATGCAAATGAGTTATGCTAATGAGTTATGCTAATGAGCTCCTGCACCTCTTTTTCTACGAAATGACCCCTGCATAAGATTAAATACATTTATTTGGCCTTTTGTGGATTCCCCAGTAAATGAATTGCTTTCACTCCTAGGAACCAATTGCTTTTGTTTGTATTTTGAGTAAAAATAATATTGTTCATTGGGTTTGCCTGTGTCCTTTATGAAGTTTATATCTCCGATACCTGGCATTTCATTTTATGGCTGACGTGGCTCGGCCCGACAAAGTAACTTCTATATCAGATCCGGCCCTCGTAACAAACCAGTCTGACACCTCCGACTTAGCTAATCGGAACAGAATTATGCTCAGATAGAGAAGGAATTGCTGGCTGTGCTGGCTGCGATGGGAAGGTTTCATCGGTACGTGTTTGGTAAGGTTGTTTGAGTTCAGACTGATCAAAAACTGTTGGAAGTAATTTTTTAAAAAGCCAGTTGGGGGAGCTCCTGCTCGTTTGCAGCATAGGCTCTTCCTGCCCCAGACTCTCCTGTAAATTAGGAAGAATCGGTAGAAGATGAGAGAGTGGTGGTCAGAACCCACAGCCAACAACGTAGTACACGCTTTTCAGGAAAGGAAATACTTTATTGAAGAGCTATAGATGCATTAATGTAGTCACTGTTAAGAATGACGGCTGCCCCTGGGGCATTAGAGGATATTTGTATGCCCCCCCCCCCCACTGCCCTGGCCAATTAGCCACCCTCCCGCGCGCAGGAGAAAGAGCTCCGGCCGTTTAACGCTGAAGCTGGGAACCAAACGCTCTCTCACGGTCCCCGAGAAATGCAGACATCAACATCCCCACCTGCAGCACTTAGAGATAAGCGTTGCAGCGGCGAAGAAGCACAGAAGGAATGCAAAGGCAATTAGAAGACAACCAACCTCCCCACCCCCATGGCAGCATAGCCGACAGTGGTACATGAAATGAGCACAATAGCGATGCATCTGGAAGGAGCAGCTGCTATAACCGGAAGCTACAAGTCAGTATTGTCAACTTCAGGTGGTCATAGCCCTTATAAGGCAAGGATGGCCACAGCAGTTGAGAGATGTTCCTCCTGTTGCAAAGTCATTTTAGTCTGCGAAGGATTTGTTACTTTGCGAGGATGGTATTCTTCATGTGGGAGAAAGGGTAGCTGTTCCTGTGTCCCAGAGACGAAATGTGCTTTCTCAGCTTAATGACTCGCATCGGGGTATGCAGAGAACGAAGGCTAGGGAGAACGGATTAATGCATTGGCCTGGTATGTGTAATGATATTGAAACGGCTGTTGGGAACTGCTCTGCGTGTGCGTGTCTTGCACCAAAAAAATGAGGAGGAGGAGAAGGAAGAGAAGAAGAAGAAGAATTGGATTTATATCCTGCCCTTCACTACCTGAAGGAGTCAGAGCCGCTTCCAATCTCCTTTTCCTTCCCCTCCCTGTGAGGTCGGTGGGGCTGAGAGAGCTCTTTCAAGAACTGCTCTTGAGAGAAAGGTTTTTTTTAAAAAAAATCCCCGGAGGGATATTTTTTATTTTGAAAATACTACAAAAACTACAAAGAAATATTAGGAAAGGGACTACAACTAAGCATAAAAGAAAGCAAACCACACTAAACTAAAACCCCAAGAGGAGGAAATCTTTTCACTGTTAGTAAAAATGTTAGTACCATAAGTGTAAAGTATTTATTACCCTGGTGTTGTTCTTGGCAGTTAGTCATCGTCTGTTCCTCTTTTTTTTGTTTTTGGCCCCCCATAGGGGATTTTTTTTAATTTGCATTTTCTATAAACTACAAAGAAACAAGGGGGGGGGTATCTACATACTATGGGTGAAAGTAAAGAGAAACCTCTAAAAACCCAAGAGATGGTGGTCATATACATTGCTCATAAAATTAGCTTAACATTTATATAAGCTTTTTACTTTGCTACATTAAGTGAGTACAAACTTCTTCATGCTATTACTAAAGTCTCCAGCAAATCTAACTATATAAAGGGCTCTATATAGAAATGCTTTAAGTTCATTTTGCAGAGAGTCCAGAGAACAATAACAACTCATTTTTTTTCCTTTTTGTTTCTCAGTCTATAGCTTAATTTAGGGGCAGCAGCCCCCCTTTCAGAAGCTGCGTCCTCGTCAGAGGGTGCCAGTAATCCCTTTTCTTCACTTCCCTTGTTGCTGCCATCTTCATCTTTATCTTCTTCACCTGCTGGATCACCATGTTGAAATAAAAATTCGCATGCCTTTTCCACAGAGTCAATTTTCACCTTTTTATCTTTGAATTTGAAGAAGATGGCCTTGGGTACACTCCATCTGTAGGCAACATTATTCTTCTGTAAAAAATTCAAAAAAGTCTTTGAATTTCTTTCTCTTCTTCCTTATTTCAAATGGAATGTCCTTCAGGATTCTTATTTCTTTACCTTTGATTTTCAGGATGGTTCCACTTGTTGCTTTCAAGATTTGATCTCTTATTTGTCTCCTGGAGAATCTCACCACAATTTCACCGGGCAGATTATTCTTTCCTATGTATTCAGAGTACGATCTATAGATCGTATCTATTTCGCTTTGTAAAAAATCTGCTTTTGTTCGTCTGTTCCTCTTGATGTGGTGTATAGCCTTCTTTGTTGAGGTGTTTCTGAGATGTTAATAAACCAGATTGTTTGTTGCATTGGACACCTGAGTATTGTGTGACTATCTTCGATGCCAGTGTTAGACAAGACATTACAAAACCCAACCCTGACTCTTTAGAATCATAGAATCACAGAGTTGGAAGGGACCTCCAGGGTTATCTAGTCCAGCCCTTTGCGCAATGCAGGGAATTCACAAATACCCCTCCCCCCCCACACACACCCAGTGACTGCTTGTTCTTGCCTCTGTCCGGGAGTGGTACAGGATCCTTCTCCTCGGCCTGCACCATTACTTCCCTTACCCATCTCCTTTTCTGCTCTTTCAGGTGAGGGGACCAACAGTGAAGATGGAAGCGAACTTCTCTGAGGAGGAAGGATCCCCTTCGGAGGAAGGGCAGAGGACTGAGGCCCAGGAGCAGGACCAAGATGCCCTCTCGGGTGGTAAGGCTGTTTGGTGGCCAGAGGAGATTGGGGCACACGGTGAAGTTGTTGGGTAGAAGGTTTAGGACAGGAGAAAAAGAAAATATTTCTGAACACAACAAAGTTAAGTTCTGGGATTCAGTGCCACAGCAGGTAGCAATGGCCATTCCCTTGAAAAGCGATTAGAAAGTTTCATAGAAAGCAATTCCATTCTTATTCACATTTACTAAAATATTTCTGTGTCACCTTCCTTCCATTGGTGGGACTCAGAGCAGCTCAAAAAAAAGGAAAGGTAGACCAATCTGGGCACAATGTTAGACATGGCAAATGAATGGAATCTCCATGTTCTGGGGTAGCATACGAGTGAAAATGCATTGCTAATGGCCAACAGTTGTCTCCCGTGCCCCTGCTGAAAGGCTTTCCAAGAGCATCTGATGGGCCACAATCAGAAAGTATAGTGGCCTGTAGCACCAGCTGGGAACAGTGACCATAATGTTATTAAGGTAGATCCGGGTGGTCAGCCATGTTGGTCTGAAGCAGTAGAACAAATTTAGAGTCCTGTGGCGCCTTCAAGACCAACAAAGTTTAATTCAAGGTATGAGCTTTCATGTGCAAAGCACACTTTTTCAAATACCTTCTTCCAGGGCTTTTTTTGTAGAAAAAGCCCTGCAGGAACTCATTAGCATAATAGGCCACACCCAACAGCACACCCCTAATGCAGCCAATCCTAATAAGTTACTGCTGTTGGGAGTGGCCTATTATGTTAATGAGCTCCTGCTGGGTGTGGCCAACTTGGATGCCAGCCGGAACTCCGTTCCTGTGCGTTCTTGCCCAAAAATAGCCCTGCCGTCTTCAACTATTAAGTTCAACATTTATGTAAATAGGGAGGTACTGAAAAGACCAACCATTTTTTAAAATATATATATATATATTCATTTTAAAAATAAATTTACAAACTGAACATGGTAAAACACTCGCACAATCAATATATATGGCATGGTTTTAAACAATAAAGAACTACCAGGTACGTAGAAAATAAAAAGCCAAAACACGACTTTAAAGGTTGTATGAAAACTTACAACAGTAGCAGTGAGCAGAGTTTAACAGCCATTTCCCTTTATCCGTGCTTAATAATTTGTGGAAATACAAAACACGAGGTATATAAATTAGTGAAGGATAAAGATAACAAAGATCTGCAATCATATTAAAGCTATGAAACTGTTAAATATTGGATCTGTTGGTTTGATATTGCTCTGATTATTCATATATTCTAAAACAGGCCACCAAAGTGAAAGAAACAAGGACTGATATTGAGGGTTGTCTATAAATTTTAAAAGGTCAGAAATCTCTCCATGAGGGGGGTGGTGAGAATCAGGCAGGATTGTGAGGCAGTTCAGAGAGATCTCTCAAAGCTGGGCGAGTGGGTGTCAATGTGGCAAATGAGGTTCAGCGTGGGCAAGTGCAAAGTGATGCACATTGGAGCCAAAAACCCTAACTATAAATACATGTTGATGGGGTCTGAACTGGGGGGGAGGCTGACCAGGAGAGAGATCTTGGAGTTGTGGTAGATAACTCACTGAACATTCAACAGTGTGCGCAACAGCAATAAAAAAAGCAAATGTTATGCAGGGGATTATTAGGAATGGAACTGAAAACAGATCGTCCAGGATCATAATGCCCCTGTATAAACCAATGGTGCAGCCTCATTTGGAATACTGTGTACAGTTCTGGTCATTGCACCTCAAAAAAGACTTTATAAAGATTGAGGAAAGGGCAGAAAAGGGCAACCAAAATGATTAAGGGGATGGAACACCTTCCCTATGAAGACAGATTAAAGAGGTTAGGGCTGTTTAGCTTGGATAAACGACGACTGAGGGGAACATTACAGAGGTTTACAAAATTAAGCACGAAGCAGGATTCAAACAAGCAAACGAAGGAGGGCGTCTAGACTAACAATCGTTCTTCCTTCTTTGTCTCCGTCACAGGCAGTGGACAGGTGGTGTTCCGCCATCGTCTTGGCAGAGTTGTGGAAACGGCCGCTGCACCTCCAGTCCAGGTAGAGGAGATGAGTGGGGAGGGTCTGGTCCCCACCCCCCTTTCACAGAGGGGCTTTTGCTCCTGCAGTTGCTGCTAAAGAGGTCGAGGGGAAAAGGCTCTGAATGCCATTCCCTTTGCCCATGCCAAGGTCCACATTCCATGCCCTCCCTGACTGCCCCCTTCCATTGTGCATTCTCTGCCTGGCATGATCTCTGAGGAGGGGATCTGCTTTTCCTTTCAGTGTCCCTTTTCCTTTGCGGAGGTGGCCGTGCATTTCACGGAAGCAGAGTGGGCGCTTCTGGATCCGGGCCAGAGAGCTCTCTACGGGGAAGTCATGCTGGAGAACTACGGGAACGTGGCCTTTCTGGGTAAGGATCTTCCACGGGTGCCAACGGTGTGAATTGCCACCATTGGGATGAGGCCCAAATCAAAATATTGAACACAGATGCATCGTTTTGAGGCCTGCCTCACTACATGTCCCCTGTTGGAGATCTCGAGGAGTTGGGGCGGCAGGAAAAGGGCGTGGTCTGGGAGAGTGGCCCAAGCCGCTCGGCTGGCTCAGGGGCAGCGGAGTCCAGCAGTGTTCCCTCTCAGCTCCACCGCGTTGGGAGCAGGAAGTCTGCCTCGTGAGCAGTGTTCCCTCTAAGCTGAATTAGTGTGAGCTAGCTCACCATTTTTTAGCCTCCAGCTCACACATTTTTGTCTCAGCTCAGGAAGGAGGGCTCTAGAGGAAACTAATTTATGTAGTAGCCAAATCGCTGGCTCACAACTTTAATGCCAGTAGCTCACAAAGTAGAATTTTTGCTCACAGGACTCCACGGCTTAGAGGGAACATTGCTCGTGAGTGGGGGGGGGGGAACCTAGTAGCATTACAGTTGTGAGCCCATCGACATTTGACTTTTGCGTGAATTGATTTTTTAGAAGATTACTTCCATAACCTTGTAAGAATCTCAGAATAAATTATTTTAAATAATATTTACATTATATTTTAAGAATAATGTGAACATTATAAGAGAAAACAGAATCAAGTCCCATCTTACCCACCCTTTCCCACTATACTGGTAGACCTATTCTCTAGAGAACAGGTCTACCCGCCCCAGTCCACTATTTTGGTAGACCTGGTCTCAGACTGTCACCCTGTGCTGAGTCTTAGAAAACATACCAGTACTGAGGGGGGGGGGATGACTCTTGCAGCCTACTTTGGGTTTTTTAGTGAAACATGACAACCAGCATTATAGGTCAAGTATAATAGAGGGGAAACAGTAGAAAAGAGCAAGAGTCCTATAGCACCTTAAAAGGTAAAGGTTCCCTTGCTCGAAAGCCAGTCGAATCCGACTCTAGGGTTGCGGTGCTCATCTCCGTTTCAAAGCCGAAGAGCCAGCGCTGTCTGAAGACGTTTCCGTGGTCATGTGGCCGGCATGACTAAACCCCAAGGCGCACGGAACGCTGTTACCTTCCCACCGAAGTGGTCCCTATTTATCTACTTGCAATTTCTTGCTTTCGAACTGCTAGGTTGGCAGGAGCTGGAACTAGAGACGGGAGCTCACTCCATCATGCGGCACACTCGGGTCTCGAACTGCTGAACTACTGACCTTCCACAGCCTGCAGTTCAGCGTCTTAACCACTTGAGCCACCGCAGCTCCTATAGCACCTTAAAAACTAACAAAATATGTGGCAGGGCATGAGCTTTCATCACTGCTCACTTCTTTGGGAACAATCACTGTCAGAACCCCGCCTAACCTAAAAAAAGAAAGTTGCTTAAATGTTATCAACCCACCCAACCTACTTATTTATTCAAATATTTATATCCCACTTTCCCCTGTGGCTGAAGGCAGCTTACAAATCATACTGAAAAACATAATAGGGGTGTGCAAAAAAAAAATTTTTTTTTAAGCTCCATTTTAGCCTATGGGGACCATTATAGTCAATGGGCCCCATAGGCTATAACGAAGAATCGATCTGGGGGTATCTGGGGCTTGGGGGGGGCTATTTTTGAGGTAGAGACACCAAGTTTGCAGCATAGCTGCTGATGCCTCTCTTCAAAAAGCTCCCCAAGTTTCGAAACGATTGGACCAGGGGGTCCAATTCTATGGGCCCCAGGAGATGACCCCATCCTCCATTGTTTACAATGGGCTGAAGCAGTATCTGTGGGCTGAAACAGTAACTCTCTGAGCTGGCTGTTAAAATTTTGTGCACCAGCGCCCCCGAACACAGCTAGGGAACTACGGAGTCCAGTGCTGTGGCCATCACCCGAGCCAGAGAGGGTTCCTGTCCTGGAGCCAAGGAGGGGCTGAGAGGTCCTCAGAAAGGGGTCTGTTACCCAAATTACTCATGCACGTCCACCCCTGTAGCTGGCAAAAGCTTCCCTCTGCTAGCAAAGAGAAAATATGTGTATTTGGGGGGTATTAATTCCCAAGATCATAAACCTGTGTCTACCAGGGTAGAGATACACACACCAACATTCAAAAGAAATGAAGGGTATCAGCATCTTAAACAAGAAAATAAATTTATTGAGTTAATAGAAAGAGAACCAGGTTAGGTCAGGTTAAGTAAAAATAGAGTCTCCACTGAAAGGAAATAAATACACACGGGAAGGACAATCACAGTTTAAAGCCTTTCCCTGCTACAAAGGGAGAAAATGAAGGGGAGGAATCAAAGAGATAACAAGCCTGCTTCCTGCAGACGACCAGGCAGCTGTGGAGAAGCACAGCAGAGAAGGATGGAACCGTAGTGAAGCCAGGCGTACAGTTGGGGGAACAGGCCGGGATCCAAAACGTGCTGCAAACTGGATGGACCGAGGGATAACGTTTTACACATTTCTGCCAAGATGAAGGAGGTGTTGGCACTGGAATGTGAGGGTGATGAAAAGTCCACCTCTCTGGAGAGGAGCTAATTTCAAAAGGGGTTTTTGTCTGCATTGCGGAAGGGAGTTTTTCTTCTTTTCCATCACAGCTAAAAGTCTTTCCTGGCTGTACTACACACAATGCCATACAATAATAATAATTATTATTATTATTATCGTATGGCATTGTGTGTAGCAGAGTGTTATGAGAGCCAGTTTGGTGTAGTGGTTAAGTGCGCGGACTCTAATCTGGGAGAACCGGGTTTGATTCCCCACGCCTTCACTTGCAGCTGCTGGATGACCGTGGGCAAGCCATAGTTCTGACAAGAGCTGTTCTCTCAAGGACAGCTCTGGAAAGAGCTCTCTCAGCCCCACCTACCTTGCAGGGTGTCTGTTGTGGGGAGGGGAAGGGAAAGGAGTTTGTAAGCCGCTCTGGGACACCTTTGGGTAGTGAAGGGCGGGGTATAAATCCAATCTCTTCTTCTTCTTCTTCTTCATTATTATTAAGCTCAAGGAGAAGTGCTCCTTTAGGGAGACTGAGAGTTTAAATAGACAAGTTAATGGCTGAGTTTACATGACAGAGTAGGGGGAGAAATCTTCCTGTCCAGCACTTAAGATAAGGAAGAAATGGCTGGGGCTGGCCCGTTGCTCATTGTCTTGATTATTTGGGTCTTTATTCAGGCCAGGTAATCTGGGAGGGAACCCCTTAGGTCCTTGGGGAAAAGGCCCTTCGGTGGACTCCCACCCCATATGGCTTTTGCATGATTAGTGGAGGAGTTGCTTCACATTCCTTGCATGCTCTCAGCCTGACTCACTGTCATTGTTGATATCAGTTTGATCCAGACTCAATTTTTCATTGCTAGGGCCCTGCTAAGGATTTGCAAGTGTACAGGGATCCAAAATGGAGGTCCCCATGTGAGGGGACTCCCGTGGCACCAGGTCAGATCCTGATTTCTCAGTTGCCAACCTTTACAACACACCCTCCCCCTGAATGGGATTAAGGCCATCCACTCTTACTGTGATCTGGTATGGATTCATCCCCCTTAAACTGGTTAGGATAGCAGGCTTTGATCATGACCATGTTTCCATCCTTCCAGAAGGATTTTTCCTCTTCCTGGGATTTCTTTCCCATATAAGAATCATCACTTTCTCCCTCCCTCTGTCAAAGAAGGCAGAAATGTAAGGGAGACTACTTAGGAACAGTCAGGCTGAACGAGGCAAAAAGGTCATCAACAATTGTCTTCAGTCATCACCTAGATGCCTTAATCCCCCCCCCCCAAACAACTGATACCCCTTCCAAAAGCCATGAGGGGTCCCTTTAACTGCGGGGTTCACTTGGTGAGGTCTTAGCATCTCCGTACCCAGCAGCAAACTTTTTTTGGGGAAAGAAGTTCTGCCAAAGGAAATGAACACTCATGAATGAGGAGTGCCTAACTGGCTTGGCTACTTGGATAGGTACTGATTTGACCTCCTTCTGTATTTCAGCAGCTGATGTAAAAGAGACCCTTGGGGAATTCCAGGGGTTCTCTTTGGAAAAAGCAGGTTGAAATGGTCCGCGCAGGCAGGCGGGAAGCAACTTTTAATATGTATACTATTGTATATTTCAATGTACAGCAAGAATGAGGCCCTGAAATGCTTTGAGCGTGGATGGAATTTCAAGTGCAAATCAGACCTTTTCCTGTGGGTGCTAATGGGACCTCTCTCTTTATTACCAACAGGGGACGATCGGGGGAATGAGGAGGGTGAGGAACTGCATCATCTATCGCCAGATGAAGTCAAGAATGAAGACCTGAGAGAAACCTTCAGGACTCAAGGCCAACCAAAGAGGCATAAAGGAAGCCACATAGTTGAGAAGATGGAGCAACCCATTCCTTGCCAAGGGGAGGATTTTCATGAAGCAATTCACATGGTGGAGGAAATGTACAAGCATTTGGAGTGTGAAATGGTCTTCTTAGATGAAACTCAATATAAGCTCCATTTACAAATGCTGGATGAAAATCAAATCAAAATGAAGACCTATCAAGGCCTGGAGTGTGGAAACAGCTTCCTTTGCAGAGCAGACCTCCTTAAAGGTCAACAAACACATGCAGGAGAGAAACATTATAGTTTCTCAGACTATGGCGAGACTTCCTCAGAGAAATCAAACCTTGGTTGTCTTCACCAAAATCAAACAAACCACACAGACGAGAAACCTTTTGAATTCTCAGAATGTGGAAAGAGATTCAGTCAGAGTGGCGATCTCCTAGTGCATCAAATAAGCCACACAGGGGAAAAACCTTTGAAGTGCTCAGTATGCGGAAAGGGATTCCGTTGGAGCAGCCATCTTCACAAGCATTTAAGAACTCACACAGGGGAGAAACCTTTTGTGTGCTCACAGTGTGGAAAGAGATTCAGTCAGAGTGGCCATCTCGTAGTGCATCACAGAACCCACACAGGGGAGAAACCTTTTCAGTGCACAGACTGTGGAAAGAGGTTCAGTTGGAGCAGCCATCTTCACAAGCATTTAAGAACTCACACAGGGGAGAAACCTTTTGAATGCTCAGAGTGTGGAAAGAGATTCAGTCAGAGTTGCCATCTCCTAGTGCATCAAAGAACCCACACAGGGGAGAAACATTTTGAATGCTCAGAGTGTGGAAAGAAATTCACTCATCTTGTCAGTCTTCAACAACATCAAAGAACACACACAGGGGACAAACATTTTGAATGTTCAGAGTGTGGAAAGAGATTCAGTCAGAGTGGCAATCTCCTACTGCATCAAAGAACCCACACAGGGGAGAAACGTTTTGAATGCTCAATATGTGGAAAGGGATTCCGTTGGAGCAGCCACCTTCACAAGCATTTAAGAACTCACACAGGGGAGAAACCTTTTGTGTGCTCAGAGTGTGGAAAGAGATTTAGTCAGAGTGGCCATCTCTTAGTGCATCAAAGAACCCACACAGGAGAGAAACCTTTTGAATGTTCAGACTGTGGAAAGAGGTTCAGTTGGAGCAGCCATCTTCACAAGCATTTAAGAACTCACACAGGAGAGAAACCTTTTGAATGCCCAGAGTGTGGAAAAAGATTCAGTCAGAGTGGCCATCTCCTAGTGCATCAAAAAAAACACACGGGGGAGAAACCTTTTGAATGCTCAGAATGTGGAAAGAGATTTTGTGACAGTAGCAGTTTTCAACGGCATCTAAGAACTCACACAATGGAGAAACCCTTTGAATGCTCAGAGTGCAGAAAGAGATTCAGTCAGAGTGGCGATCTCCTACTGCATCAAAGAACTCACACAGGGGAGAAACCTTATGAATGCTCAGAATGCGGAAAAATATTCAGTCTGAGCTTCCATCTTCACAATCATTTAAGAACTCACACAGAGGAGAAACCTTTTGAATTCTCAGAAAGTGGAAAGAGATTCAGTCAGAGTGGTGAGCTCCTTCTACATCAAAGAACCCAGACAAGGGAGAAACCTTTTGAATGCTTAGAATGTGGAAAGAGATTCAGCACAAGTGGCAATCTCCTACTTCATCAAAGAACCCACACAGGGGAGAAACCTTTTGTGTGCTCAGAGTGTGGAAAGAGATTCAGTCAGAGTGGCCATCTTCACAGCCATTTAAGAACCCACACCGGGGAGAAACCTTTTGAATGCTCAGAGTGTGGAATGAGATTCAGTCAGAGTGGCCATCTTCAGCGTCATCAAGGAAGCCACAGAGGAGAGAGACCTTTTGAATGCTCAGAGTGTGGAAAGAGGTTCAGTAGGCTTCGCAATCTTCAAAAACATCAAAGAGCCCACATGAGAGAAGCATTTTAAATGCTCATAAGTGTTGGAAAAGATTCTGTCAGCATCATCAAGGAACTCACAGAGGTGAGAAACTTTTTGAATGTTATAGAAGGATAAATTATATGAATATGTGAGAATGGCAAAATTAACATCTTATATACACAATAAACCGGTTTCAGAATTTCAAGAAAAATTGAAAGTATTTTTTTATTATATACCTGAGAATTAGGAATAAATTTAAATCAAGGTACAGATTAAGAAAAGAGTCCAGCAATATATATCTGTAATGATAAGGTATTAGATATGAAGATAAATGAGAGGGATAGAATAAAGAAATTTAAATAGAGGGTAAAAGAAAGAATATATTCTTGCAAGTTCTTAAAAAGTGTAAGTAATTATATGTTATATAGAACATACAGATGTGTTTATGTTTATGTTTAAGATATGATCTGGATATTGTAGAATATTGTAGTAGATTATGATGACTGCCTATGTATCTATATTTTATATATGAGTTAAAGATTGTTATAGATTGTAGTTTATGTTTTGTCCTATAATGTGAACCGATAATAAAAAAAATAAAAAGAAACGTTTTGAATGCTCAGAGTTTAGGAAGAGATTCAGTCAGAGTGGCCATCTGCAACACCATTTAAAAACCCACACAAGGGAGAAACCTTCTGAATGCCCAGAATGTGGAAAGACATTCAGTCAGAGTTACAATCTTCTACAGGATCAAAGAGCCGACACAGAGAAGAAATCTTTTGAGTGCTCAGAGTATGGAAAGCAATTCAGTCGGAGTGGTGATATTTATCTGCATCAGAAAATCCACACAGGGGAGAAACCTTTTGAATAAGAATCTACAAACTCACACAGGGGAGAATTCTTTTGAATACTCAGATTGTGGGAAGAGATTCGGTTAGCCTGGCCATCTTCAACAACATCAAAGAACCCACACAAGCAGAAACCATACAACTGCATGGTGTGAACATATTCAGGCATGAATGGTCCTGTATGTGGTGTTTTTTGATCAGGCCACAGCTTTTGACTCCACCGATCATTTGTGTGAGAGATTGGCAAAGACAAATATTGATAAAAGATTATTGCTCCTTATATGAGAGTTATACTCAGATACACATGCAAAGATCAAAGTGGGTATCTTGGGCAAGTAGTTAAATTCCTATAAATAAGGGAGTAAAGCAGGGGTGTGCTTTAGCCCCCCTACTTTTCAATTTATACATAAACAACATTGTACCAAGATTATCTGGTTCAGATTTTGTTGCACCTATTATAGGCCACCAAAAACAAAAATCAATGTTATTACATGTGGACAATATGGTTTTGATCTCCCTAACTAGAATTGGGCTCAAGAGGCTTCTGTACAATCTGGGTGGATATTGCAAGGAAGAGAAACTATAATCAATTATACGAAAACCAAAGTAATGGTTTTTCAGAAGAGGCCAAAAAAGTTTCACTAGAGTATACAAAGCATCCCAATAGAGCAATGTAAATCCAACAAATATTTGGGTTTAACTTTTAATGAAACTTTGAAATGGAACGTCCATTTAGAATCCATAAAAACCCCAGCTCTTAATGTAATGATGAGATTTTATTATACCAGGAGAGGTTTTCTTATCGGCCTGGTTTTAAAACTTTTTGTTAGTAAAGTTATTTCCCACTTATTCTATAATATCGAAATATGGGGATGGAAAGAACAAATACTTATCAGCCTGGAAACAATTCAAAATCACTTTATGAGAGTCCCTTTTGGCATTGCCAAGAGGGACACTTGCAGCACTGTTGCGAGCTGAATTTGGTCTCCCTTTGATGAGGCTTTGTGCCCACTTACCAATTTTAAAACCATGCGGAAAGAACCAATCAAGTAGATCCTGGTTCATTCAGCAAACTCAGCTACTATTTACTGCATTTAGTGCAAAGTAAGAATAAAGCTCGTTCTGACTCTCTTATTAATAAAATTTTTCGTTATACCATCCCAGACGATCTGCTCCAGCCTTCAAGGAGTAATTTTGACCAGCGGGAATGGGTATTTAGAGAGGATGCCTTAATGGATAACTCTTTAATTACCCAGTCAAAGTTTGCCCCATGATATAAAATTATTTAAAAAGATCATTTTAGAGCCACTTACCTGATTGACATAACAGCATACAATCTCAGGAGGGCATTTACATCGCTACGTTTCCAAACAATGCCAATGGAAATGTTTCCTGGGGTGATATTCAAAGAAACCCACTGGATCAACGTATTTGTGTATGTGGAAGTTCAGTGGAAGACCTCCCCCCATTATATCTTGGTTTTCCCCTTATACCTGGAACCCAGGAACACATTTCTGGCTAGGATTTTAATAACTTTTACTGGATTTTAATCACTTTACCTGTCTGACCTTGATAAATTAGCTTTTGTGTTGTCAGATGTGGATTCTTTTGTCTCCTGTAGGATGGCACTTTTTGCTCTGGCCGCTAGGAAAATCAGAGCAAATGTGGTTTCTAAGAAAGTAAACAATGGAATTGAATTGCAGTTTTTGAGCTGGACTAAGAAAGTTTAAAGATGTCTGTTATTTTAGAAATTTTAGACTTGTACGGTTGTATGTTGTAAATGTGTTTTGGATTGTGAAGGCCTATGGCCATATACAATAAATTTATTTCAACTACAAAAAATATATATAACTGCAAAGCTTGTGAAAAGAGCTTTTCTCTTATTTCACACCTAAAAAAACAACACCACAGACCATGAAAGAGTTGGAATCATAGAAATTCTTATAAAGTGCTTGTATCTACCCAGCATCCTGGAAGAAATTATAGAAATATTTGGATTTAGGAGAGAGCTCAAATAGATCTCATAGGGAAGAAAGAAAGGATATTTTCTGAGGGTGGAAAGAGAGTCAAGACCAGCCCATATCTCCTTAACCATTGAGGACTCAACACAGGGGAGGAATCTGTGTAGCAAGAGCTTAAGGCAGAGATCCAGCCTTTCTGTCTCTCAGATAATCCACACAAGGGCAAACATTTTGTATAGTGGGTTCTGATGAGGCTTTTCTTTGAATGCCCAGGAGTTGGAGGCTCAGAAGTATTTATTTATTTATTTATTATTCACATTTCTATCCCGCCCTCCCCGGAGGCTCAGGCCGGCTTACAGGGCACATTGCCAGATAAAACAATAAAAACAATACAAATATTAAATTACAATCCCATTAAAACAGATGTTGATACTTCTCTCAACTACTTTACAATTTCTAAAAGCAAGATGGCCACATCCTAACCGTCCCGTTCTCACCCATAGTGCAGCGATTAAAGGGCCCAGATGTACTTGTCCCCATCCTGATGTGAAGTTATGCGAAGAAGGGCCTTTTTAGTGGAATTGAAAGGACTGAAGAAATACTGACTAGGGACCTTGACATTTTGTTTGACTACTACTGTAAATGTCGGCTCATCCCAAGTCCAGGAAAAAAATAACAATTTTGATTAAGTTCCTCATCAAAGGCTCCTAAGTGAACTCAGTAGTCATAGGGTAAGAGGACAAGCCTCTTGTGGAATAAAAACTGGCTAATTAACAGGAAACAGAGAATTAAGTTTAAATGAGCAGTTTTCACAATGGAGGGTGGTAAGCAGTACAGTACAGCAGGAGTTGGTATTAGGTCCAGTGCTTTTTAACTTGGAGTTGGGAGTAAGCAGTGAAGTGGCTAAAGTTTGCGGATGATACAAAGTTTTTCAGGGTGGTGAAAACCAGGGAGGATTGTGAAGTGCTCCAGAGGGATCTGTCAAGGCTGGGTGAGTGGGGGTCAATGTGGCAAATGAGGTTCAACGTGGGCAAGTGCAAAGTAATGCACATTGGAGCCAAAAATCCTAACTATATGTTGATGGGGTCCGAACTGGGGGGAGGCTGACCAGGAGAGAGATCTTGGAGTCATGGTAGATAAATCACTGAAAATGTCAGCTCAGTGTGCAACAGCAATAAAAAAGGCAAATGCTGTGCTGGGGGTTATTAGGAAGGGAACTGAAAACAAATCAGCCAGTGTCATGCCCCTGTATACATCGATGGCGTGGTCTCATTTGGAATACTGTGTACAGTTCTGGTCACTGCACCTCAAAAAAAGACAATATAGCACTGGGAAAAGTGCAGAATAGGGCAGCCAAAATGATTTAGGGGATGAAACACTTTCCCTTTGAAGAAAAGTTAAAGATGTTAGGGCTCTTTAGTTTGGAGAAACGACGACTGAGGGGTGACAGGACAGAGGTTTCCAAAATTATGCATGGAACAGAGAAGGTAGAAAAAGAAGTGCTTTTCTCCCTTTCTCACAATACAAGAACTTGTGGGCACTCAATGAAATTAATGAGCAGTAAGTTTAGAACAGATAAAAGGAAGTACTTCTTCACCCAAAGAGTGATTAACACATGGAATTCACTGCCGCAGGGAATGGTGGCGGCTACAAGCATAGACAACTTCAAGACACAAGTGGGGACCCACAAGAAACTTGTCAGAGTGGCTGTCCCATTTCCCCAACTTTGCTTCTTCCCCTCTCCCCCTACTTCTCTCACACTTTCTCCTTCCTGCCACCCCTTTTCTCTCTCTCTCCCCCCTCCATGCCTGTCACTTCTTTTCTGCCCCCACCCCATCACTCATTCTGCCCCCGTCACTCTCCCAGCCTCCCTCCTTCTTCCCCCCCCCCCAGCAGCGGTGGCAGTGGCCACTCTCCAGGAATCACAACGGATTGCCCAAATACAGAGATTAGTTCCTCTTAGTGTTGCCTGCTCCATGTTGGGAAATTCCTGGATATTTGGGGGTGGAGCCTTGGGAGGATGAGGTTTGAGCTTGGAAGTGACCTCAGCAGGGTAAAATACTGCCAAATCGGCCTTCTACCATCTTCGGCTGATCAGGCAGGCGGTTCCCTTCCTCAAATGCAACGACTTGGCAACAGTGATCCATGTGATGGTTACCTCAAGACTGGACTACTGTAATGCTCTCTACATGGGGCTGCCCTTGTCTCAGATCCGGAAGCTGCAGCTGGTGCAGAATGCCGCGGCCAGGCTCTTGATGGGGCTCTCTATACGGGAGCACATACAGCCTGTGCTAAGGGCATTGAACTGGCTGCTGATAGCTTACCGGATTCGTTTCAAGGTGCTGGTTCTCACTCTTAAAGGCCTATATGGTCAGG